TTTACCACCATTAGTACTGCCACATGTAAATACTGTAGCTTTACCCTCACGCTGCTGACCCCACGGTTTATTCGGCACAATAAACACAAAAGTACGACTGCAATGAAACATAAACATAAATTTGAAATAAAAATATATTTATGAAACAAAATTAAAATGTTTTTATGTACATATATAAACATGAAATCCTAGTTAAAAATAAAAACTCATTTATTGTTTAGGTTTATTTACAAATATTATTTACGGGTCTGTATATTACTTGGAACCATAAAAAGTATACGTGATTATTAAAAAAAAATTAAAAATAGATAAAATTTGCATTTTATGTAGAATACAATTTTTTGGGGGATTTCAAAATAATGTACTAAAACATTAAAAGTAATAAGCTCAAATCTGTAGCAAATATAAATATTGTAATCATTTTTTATAAATACGATTTCCTAATGTAATTTTCCATGATATTAAAGATCATAATGCAAAAAAAACTAAATTTATTAAAAGTAATAGGCTTTGTTTCTTAAACTACCTACATTTGTCAAAGTACTTATAAATATTCTCATATATATTTGTCCACTAGTTTATTGTTGGAATGAAATATAGTGAGACTTGCATTGCCTACTAAGAAAGTTAGTAGTCGGTAGTCATCGGGTTAAAAGACTGATCAACCAGAATAGCAAGATCATTCTCTTTTATAACAATGTTAGGGTTATTCCCATCAAAATTGTACTCATAATTCAAATTGTGATAACCCATACGCATTACCTTTGATTTGCTATAAATTAAAAGCCATCTGCCATTTATTCATTCATCTCATCAAATATTCCACATCTTTTTTTGTAAGATAGTAGCATCCTCACAGCCAGCAACACTCAAAACTTTGTAATCCAACAATGTCTTTCTAAACCTTAATAGTTTGAAATCTATAAATCTGATGCCATCCTTTTGTTTTAGAAAACTTCTGGTTGTCAGAATAAAATATTTTTAATGTGAAGCCTATCAATAGAAAAGTAGCACATAATTTCAAAACAGGATAAAATCTCCCAAAATCTGACATAATGTGTAAGATAATAATGCCATTAGACGAATAGGTTTACAAGAATGGTAACATTGTATCTTACTTTGACTTTTTTTCTATTATTACCATCACAGGGGGTTGTGGTGCTATGTATGAGGTGAACCTGGAGTCCACCGATTTTATTGGGAAGAACCGAGTCCAACAACATATGATGGTAAATGAGGTAAGGTATACTTTATTTCTGTGAAATGACCACTAGCTACTCTGTTATTACATGTGTTTGCTTTTTAAGTCTCTTTCTTGATTTAGTGAAGTTATTTTACAAAAACTTGTAAGCTAGGTTATACTGAAAAGTATCAGTTCATGTGCAGCACATCAAAATGTTATTTTCAATATATTTCATCATGTGTATTTTTAATTTTGACAGGCTTTAAAAGAAGAAATCAAAGACATGCATGGTTTAAGAATTTTCACATCAGTTCCAAGTGACACACAGAGCTGAATGGGTGTTGCTGTAGCAAGGTCAAGACCTCCTCTCAGTCGAAACTTCACTGTGTTAGTTAATATATCAGTAATAACAAGTAAACTGCTGAAGCAATGTGAAATCAAGAACCCTTCTCAGTCAAAAACTCACTGAGTTACTCAATATATCAGACCAGATATAATAAGGAAACTGTAAAAATTGGATAGTTTCTTATAGTATTAAAATTCTGTATAAGGCTAAGAGATTTAAAACACATATATCTATATATACTAATAATGCTGTATTATATTGTATTAAATAGGTTGAATTAGGTTAAAAACTACATTTATGAAAGACAAAATATCTTACTTTACTGATTTGGAACTTTGAGTAAGAAATGTTTCAATATCATGTGGATAAAAATTTATAATAAAAATAATAATAAATCTTATGAAAGTTGACAAAAATTTCACAAAGTGTATAAAAGACCAGGCTTTAAAAATATTAGTATTTACATTGTTTTAAACAGTTAAGGAAAGATCAGAGTTTTTCTGTATTCAACCTTTGACAAAACTACTCTAATTATATAATGTCAATCACATCTCGAGTTCATTTCTTTGATATGCAAATGTATACTAGAGAAATTAATTTCCAGAAATGCTCACTTAGCAGCTGAATAGATAATCAGGAAATGTTTGTTAATAAAGTTTAATCACCTTGGACCTAACGAAGGCTGTTGCATGCTTACAATGAGTGAATCAATGAGCTACTAGAGTCAGAGCTGTTTGTAGTTCATCAGTGCTACTTGGAGATGAATCATATGATTCCAAATGTCTTCCTCTAGATAATCACTCAGATCCAAATCCAGTGAATATGCTGGTCAGTCCATCTACTTGGTACACTCTTCTTTCAAGAATTAGCTGATGAAGTGCATTATTATTCCTTACAACCAACTGTATTTACATGTGGCAGTACTACTGGTGGTAAAACTACTGTATTTACATGTGGCAGTACTAATGGTGGTAAAACTACTGTATTTACATGTGGCAGTACTAATGGTCTTTGTACGTTGTCCGTAAACTATCTCACCCCTTTTGGTGGTCACTCTCGTTCAACCGAGCACGTGCACATTTGAACATTACTGTAGATATGATAGTAAGAAAGCTTTTCGGTACTTGAATATCATTTCTTTGAACTTTCAAACAAGTTTATTTCAACATATGTCCGTGTATACTGTTTCAGAATAGAGACAAAACTAATTGCCACTACTAACAAATGTATGTAACAGTTTATAGTACAGGTGGCTTCAATAACACCGCCTGACCATAGTTACTTGATAC